TGCCTGCTCTCCGGCCCCGGGCGCACGCCGCTGTTGTCGTCCTCTGTCTGCGGTTCTATTTTTACACGTTTGTTTAGCGATCCCGTCGGGAACGCGAGTTTTGTGGTTTTGTTCTTTGCTTTTTTTATTATTATTATTATTTTCAAATTGTCGCTTTTGGCAGAAAGACAAAGCTATCATCGCATCTTTATCTTTAAAAGGAGACGAGTACAATGGGAAGCGCCAGCAGCTGGTGCTCGGTGCTGCTGCTGCTGCTGCGAGTTAAGTGTTGGCCGTGCATCTGATACACGGTCGTGCTTGCCCGTGGGTCCCGGGATTTTCGCCCGTGTCCGTGGGTTCGCAGCGGTCTGGGCCCGGGTCCCCCACCCCCACCCCCACCCCTGTCGGAGGCCGTGCGGTGGGGCAGCGCTGCGGTCCTCCGGTCCTGAACGAGCGCGGAGCATTCCCTCCCTCCCGCCTTCCCGCTGCTTCCTCCGCCCCCGCGGGCCCAACCCGAACCGAGCCAAGGGCTGCGGGGAGGGGCAGGCGCCGAGTGCAGGCAGGGAGACGGAGTTCGTGCCCTTCTGGGTCTTACGTTAACACGAGTTCGAGACTTTCAAAACTACTGAAGCCGTGGGAGAGTTTCGCCTGGGCTGGTGTGGTCTGACTGTGTGCAGGGCCTGAGGAATTGATCGTGGGGGGGTGGGGGGGAGAACGGGGAGGTGCCAGGTAGGAGGCTTCTGCAGGAGCTGAGGCCTGAGGCGATGCTCGCGTGGACCAGACCGGCGGCAGCGGGTGTACAAAGAACTGGTCAGTTGGTGTCTGGGGGCACCCTTGAAAAGACTCAGTGACGGAGATGTCTTTATGGAGAGGAACCCGCGTGAACGTCCAGATTTCTCACAGGAGCGTCCGATCGCACCGCCTGCCATCTCCTCCCCCCGGGAATATAAAGTAACGGGCCGGCGGGGCCACGAGACGGAGGGCTCCTGTGTAGGCCTCTTAAGGGCGGAACGTCTGTGGGCACCCACGGACGCCAGGCTGGGGCTCAGAAGGGGAGGGGCCTGGGGTCGGGGATAGAAGTGTGGGACACGCGGGTGGCACTCGAGGCCTTGGGACCAGGTGAGATCTCCGAGGGCGGCGTGGAGGCGGGGGGCGGGGGGCAGCGCGAGAGGGGCCTGCAGAGCGGGGTCGGCGGGGGAGAGCCAGGGAGGGGGAGAGCAGCAGGAAGGCGCCCTGCGCTGGACTCGAGAGGACAGTGTTTCGGTGCACGTGCCGCGTGACGGAGACACGGGTGTGCAGGGGGAACCCCAGGCCCCGGGTTGACGTATTTATTACGGGTGAGCAGTGAGGAGAGAGAGAACCCTGCAGGGAAACGCAGACATGGCACGAACAGGCAGTCCCCTGCAGGGCAGATCCTAGCGGCCGGTAAACCCCTGAAAAGGTGTTTCATCTCGGCCTTAATCAGGGAAACGCAGGCCTGAAAGGGGGATGTTACTGGGTGGTGTCGAACCCGGGACGGAGGCCGCTGCCCACCGCGGCCTTTTCGGGAGCAGCTGGCGGTGTCCGTTACAGTGAAAAACGCCTCTAATCCGTGGTCCACCCGTCTCCCTCCTGGAAATCTGTCCTGTGGAAAGAGAAGCTCCAACATATAAAAATCTAAGTGATTTTACTACAGCCTTTTTAAAGGGGAAGAACACTGACAGTAAAGCAAATACCCATCCCTCAGGGAAATAAACTACAGGTTATCCAATCACTGGATTATCTGCCTCTGTTAAAAATAAATGGGTTAGATCTGTGCCGGTGGAGTCTCAGGACTCCTCACAGTGCAGAGAATTTGACAAGATACGGTTTATTTTGTGTGTGTGTATAAAACGTTGTAGCCTCCCCCCAAAGCACTTCTGCCTGCGTATAAAACACTTGCCTCTCTGTGATCTTGTGCGTGAACCTGGAGAAACGCATGCTAGTTACTGACCGTGATGGCCCGGGGGTAAGGAAGTCTGAGGGAGGGTGTGGGGGTGTCCCCACTCACCCACCCCTCGATAAACACGCCCCAAAAGAAAAATGGTCTCCGTGATGAAGCAGCGTCTGTGACTTACCCCATATATGCAAACTGTGTGTGTGTGTGTGTGTGTGTGTGTAAGTTGTTTTTAAAAATAAAATGCTAATCTGGGGTGTGCACGTCACACAATTGTTATCTCGAGGTTTCTGGGGGCGAGGAGCCCAGGTACGGCTTACCTGGACCTGCTGCCTCTGCGTCTCTCCCAGGATCATCTTGGGGGGCGGATGTGCTTCCAGGCCCGCCCCAGCTGCGGTTGGCAGGCTGTGGGCGCGGAGGCCTCACCTGGTCACGAGCTGCAGTGGGTCGCAGCCCTCCTGGGCTCCCGGCCACCAGTGGTCTCCGTGCAGCCATCCACACCAGCAGTGGGCGCCCCCAGGGCGGGCGGGCAGGCAACAGGTGCAAGCCAGCAGTGGGCGTGGCACCCCCTCCCGAGCGCCCCCAGTCAGGGAGGGGGTCCTACCGGCGGCGGGGGCCATCATGCCCCACCCCATGTTCCTGGGTCCATCTCTTATTCCTTTGTCTTGATCAAGGCCAATGAACCTCTCTTGTATAGTCGCGTAAAACACCACCCTCCCTGAGCATCTCGGGGTGTACCTCCGCCCACCACTGCTGCTGTGGTCCCCTCTCCTCCAGGTGGCCTTCTGACGGGTTGTAAGACAGCCCCCTGCCATCCATCTCCACCTGTGGCCCACGGAAGGCTTGCACCTCCGCCACGGAGGCTCTGGGGGTGCGAGCCAGCAGCCCCCGCCCTCAGTGCCGTCAGAGCAGCGGAGCAGGGAGTGCCGTCCTCTCTCGGGGTCTCCCAGGCGGGAGTGGGACTGGTCTTCTGTGACGCCCACGTGCTAGAAGACGCCTTAAGCTCTCCGAGTGGTCCTGGGAGGAGGGGGGCTCTCTCCACAGCATAAGCCCCCTCCTCATCTCCAGCTCCTCTGTAGCCTCTCAGCCCTTCGTTGTTGTCGTCGTCGCAGTCTTGGTTGTCGTTATGGGCGAGCTAAGGTTGCCCGGGGGTTTCCACCGCCTTCCGGGCGAGTCTGGCATGGCGGTCACTCGCCTCCTCTCGGGGTGTCGCGCCTTCTCCCGCCGCGACCTTCAGCTGCACCGACGCTGGAGAAGCCCCACGGTGACACCCCAGTGCATCTGCCCCCCGCCTTCTTCCCGCCCCTCTGCAGGCGGCTGCCCCGGGCGGGCGTGTCAGCCCCAACAGCGAGCATCGGGGCGGGAGGACGAGGAGAGAGGAGCCGCGGGCGCCCTTTGTTTCAGACTAGAACGGACAGACGCGGTCTCAGCGTTATCATGCAAATTGTGTTTGAGGGGTGTTCTCGAAATATTTGGAGTGCTTGTAGAATTAAAAGTAAGGTATTTGAGTTACAATTCACAGAGTGAAGGTAAGCCTGAAGAGAAGAGAAGCAGGCGTAAAAAGCCAGATTGCAAGCAGACGTGATCTCCGTGGGGATCGGCACCGTTCAACTGTGTGATGTTCATAACAGACCAGCCGATCAGAACGCAGAGGCGGAAATTACCCCGAGTTGGAGATGCCAGTGTAGCCCACTCGAGTAAAACAGACAGAGAGACGGCGGAGACGTGCCTCAGACAAAACAGCACTGAAGGGCAAAGCAGCACTGCGTATCGTGTTATGTTGACAACATGAAACCCAACGAAATTGGCATTAAAAATTAAGAGAGATGCCTGCATTGGCACACGTCTTGGGAAACGGCTTCACAAATGTCTGAATTTAGTTTTACGTGATTATCTTTCTTTAAATTCTTTTTGGTGTGGGAGGCAGAGTTTGAAAGATCTGAGTAAAGCAGTGAAATCCTCCCCGTAATTACATGGAAACAAAGGAGTCGGCTCAGCGTGAGCCACGTCGTGGCACTGGGCCGGGAGGGAAGCCCAGAGGCTGCCTCTGCAGCCCGCTCTCTTTACGGACGTCAAAGTCAAGGCCCCCAGAGATTCAGTGATTAAATGTTACCTTCGAGATCACAATTTGGATCAGAAGCAGGACGCAACTGCCGGTTTCTGGACTCGGGGTCCAGGTGCACTCAGTGCGCCCGGGCACCTGCCTTGAGAGCCGTGGCCCCTGCGGTTGGCAGTCACCCTGGGGGTGGTGCGCCCACCTCGGGCGGAGCCGCGTGCGAGTGGGCGGGGCCTGCAGGGGCCTTCGGGGGCCGGTCTGCACTCCGCAGTCCACGCGGCTCGCGCGGGCCTCTCTCTCCTCCAGGGTCGGCTGCCTGCATGACCGGCAGGTGGGCGTGGTTTGTAGACGCTTGTGACTTTGTGCCTGGAACCCAGAGGAAAGGTGGGAGCCACGGGTGGGGATTTGGGAGTCAAGGACCGTTTCTTGAGACACTCTAAGGACTCTGGACTTAATCTGATGGAGGTTCCCGGCCTCAGCTGTGCGTAAGAGTCCGTAGGTCTGGGGAAGGGCTGAGGTACTGCCAGTCTTCCAGAGCCCCCTCCAGAGGCTAAGAGCGCCCAGCCGGCAGTGCTGTCCCCAGTGGGAGGTTGCAGACCGCGTGAAGCGAGGGGGTGGCCCAGAATCCAATGTGCGTTTCCACAGGTAGTTCCAGGTGAGACTCCAGCCTGGGGGGGGAGGCTTGCAGAGGCGAGAGGTGGCATCTTTCCAGGACTGCATGATGTTTCATGGAGTCAGTCTTCCATAACGCTTCTGTCTTGCGGCGTGCACGTGTCTGGGGCTGCGGGCAACCGCGCGGTTGTGGCTGTGGCTGGTGCGTTGCTGCCCGTGCGTTGCCGTGAGCGGCGTGCAGGTTACTGTCCCTGCGAGGGGGGGGGCCACGGGTGTTCCGCGTCCTTCCGTGGGGTTCCAGAAAAGAAAGACTATGGGGATTTTGATTAACTGTGTTTTGAGACTAGCACTCCGCCCTCAGAGCGGCGCGGGAGCTGTGCGGCCGGGGTTTCCCGCGAGGCCGCTGCATGTCTAGTGACTGGGCTCTGTCTCCGGCAGATCGACGAGCTCCCGGAGGGAGCCGTGAAGCCTCCGGCGAACAAGTACCCGATCTTCTTCTTCGGCACCCACGAGACGTAAGTCGGCAGGGCCTCCGCGGGACTGCGGCGTTGCGGACCCTCCGAGACGCGCTCCGCGTTGTGGAAACCGCTGCAGTCGGTTTCGTGAAACTCCCGGCCCGGACCGCGGGCCTCTTCCCATCGTGCTGCTCCCGCCCGTCACCGTGGTTTCTGCTGTCTCGCTGGGCGTCGCCCGGCGCTCCCCGTGGGGCGCTGACGTCCCGGGGAGCCCCTCCCCCCCACTCCCGGGGATCTCCTCTGTAGCGCTCCCACGCTTCCCTTCGGGGAGGGAGGGGGTCTCCTCCCGTTCACACGCCCCCCCCAGGCTTCCCCAGTCGGTTGGGTCCGGGAGCAAAGGCACCACGGATTTTTCAAGGGTTTCCCGTTGTGTTGGTTCAGGGCAGGCTAAGCCGCTGAGTAAAGGAATCTGAAAAGACAGGCGCTTCTAACGGCGCGGACGTTCGTCTCTGTCTGCGGAGACAGCCCACAACCCAGCGAGAGGCGGGTGGCACCCGGCGGGTGGAACGCGCGCTCCAGGCGTCCGGGCTCCTCTGTCGTTCGCCCTGCAGCTCTCCGGGCTGTGGTCCTTGTCCGCTTACTTTTTTTTTATGGAACCTTACTTTAATTTTTTTAACAGAACAGTTTTTTGTGTATTTTTTATAAGATGTTATTTATTTTTAGAGAGGGAAGGGAGGAAGAGAGAGAGAAACATCAATGTGTGGCTGCTGGTGGTCGTGGCCTGCAACTCAGGCATGTGCCCTGACTGGGAATCGAACCTGTGACACTTTGGTTCGCAGCCCGCGCTCAATCCACTGAGCTATGCCAGCCGGGACTCGCTTATTTCTTTAAAAAAATTTTTCATTGAAAAACGAAACAAAACAGCGTGGCTACGTAGCACCTCTGCACTCTGCAGGTAGAGGGAAGGGGGAGAGGAGAAGAGGAGAAGAACCAGTAACTTCTTGCAAGCAGGTGTCGGGCAGGGCCGTGGGCGTGGGGGCGCGCCCGGCTGTGAGGGCAGCCGGGAAACGCGGCTCCTGCGGGGGCAGGTGGGCGGGGCGATCTGCGCGCAGAGGGAAGGCGGGGCAGGTGGGCACCGGGACACGCTGGGAATGTCTGGGTGAGTACAAGCACACGGGTGGAAAACGGGAGTGGCAGACGTCGGGGAAAGCCAGGCTGCCACGAGCCCTGACACGTCTCCACATGCAGTGTCACCCCGTGTGCCCCGGAGGGTCGGCGGAGGCCGGGGCGCGCTGCCGGGTCTTCCTCGCTCTCGCCCGGGAGGGGAGGGGAGGGGAGGGGAGCTCGCAGGGAGAGGGCCCCGAGGACGTCTTTCTGGCCTTCACAGCAGAGAGAGTTGTTTCTTTCTGGAAGTTAGTTTTACTTTATTTTATTTTCTTCTGCTTCTCCCAGTGGACACTGGGGACTATGCAACTTAAATTTTCTTTCCGGGAGAGATGGCTGGGAAGTAGCTCAGGGCCGCTGGCCTGCGTTCCCAGCTCTCTGTGTGTTCTGCCTGGGACCCCGCGTGAGGGACCCCCTGGGATGCGCGCCGGACCCCGGGTTTCCGTATATTGTTGGTTCCTGTGCTGAAACCGGCTCTGGCACCTGAGGAGGCACCGATCCTAAAAACGCCTTACGTGTGGAGGTCAGAATACCCGATCTATCTCTGCTGTGTCTCCGCAGCGCATTTCTCGGTCCCAAGGACCTCTTCCCGTACAAGGAGTACAAGGACAAGTTTGGGAAGTCCAACAAGCGGAAAGGGTTCAATGAAGGATTGTGGGAGATAGAAAACAACCCAGGAGTCAAGTTCACTGGATACCAGGTAATGGTTCGCTTCATTGCCGCGTGCCCAAGCTCGTTTCTTTGCCCTTAACTCCTTTCTGGACCTTTCTGATGGGTCCTTTGTGCCAGTAGTTGCCCCCCCTTCATCTGAAGCCAGGATTCTCTTGGGCTCCGGTGGCGTTTGGGGTTAAACGTAATTCCGTCACCCAAGAGGGTTCAAGTGCAGTAGTCGTGGGAAAAGATGGAGGTCGGCGGCCCTTTCAGTGAGCCGAACCCTTTCAAATTAAAACAGAAAGCTGCTCTTCACGGTCTGTGTTCTGTGCGACTTTTCAGAAATGGGTGTGATCAGCGGGTGTGTTGCTCCGCAGGCCATCCAGCAGCAGAGCTCCTCGGAGACGGAGGGGGAGGGCGGCAACACGGCGGACGCGAGCAGCGAGGAGGAGGGCGACCGGGTGGAGGAGGACGGCAAGGGCAAGAGGAAGAACGAGAAGGCCGGCTCCAAGCGGAAAAAGGCCTACGCTTCGAAGGTCGCGGCGCCCCCCGCGCCTGTTCTCATTCACTGCGTGAGACGCGTGTTCGCGGGAAGGTCTAGGTTACTTCGGACTCACCCCTGGGGGCACAGAAGGGCACTGGCTCCGGGGGGCTCTGCCTTGGAGACGGGGCAGCTGGGGTGGGGGGGGGCACTGGGACAGGCAACTTCAGGTGAGGGCCGCTGGCCCCTGACTCTGGGGCTGATTCGGGCCCCCAAACACTCGCTGCCTTGTCAGCTGGAGGAGGGCGGCCCTTCAGCCGAGGGTGTGAGGCAGGTGGGCGTCCTGCGGTGACCTCCAGAGGAGCGTGCTGGAGAGGTAGGGACACGGGAGACTCGGCGCGACGCGGGGCCGTCTCGGCGTGCCGTCCTGCAGACGTAGAGCCGTGTTCTTGCCTGTCTCCCGGCCTTAAAGCCCAGGCTGTGGCTCTTCTGGGCTCACTTGTCCTGTTTCCGGGTGACAGCCTGTGTCCGACACCTGCACTCAGCATGCAGCGGTGAGCAAATCCAGTTCGCCCTGCTCTCGTGTGCCTTGGAGTTGGGCGGGGGGGCAATGGAGGGGGGCGGGGGTAAACCACAAGCAATAAATACAAACCGAGAAAAGGGAAGGCATGGGAGAGGAAGTGACAGAGAACCTACTTCAGGTGAAGTAGCCGGGCCTTTGTGAAAAGGTGAGAATGGGGGGCGGGGTAGGAGAGGAGAGCCCCGTGCCCAGAGCAGTGGAGGGGCCCCGGGAGCAGGGAAGGGGGCCTCGAGGGCTGAGTTGAAAGGAGGCAGCTTCTCCCGCGGGCCGGAATTCTGAGGGAGGGAGGCAGGCAGGCAGAGGCCAAGTCACAGGGACAGCTGTGTGTCCCCTTAACGTCTTCGGATTTTATTCCAGATGTAACGGTAATTTATTGAAGGTTTTAAACAGAGGAGTGACATGGTCCTACATTTACAAATTGACAGTGTAGGTTTTTCAGACAGCAATTCAGAAATGCAGTGGAAAAACCGTGAGACTGTGAAAACGGCTCAGCTTTTGGAGACTGGGAGCAAGACCAATGGGCCTCTGAGACCCGAGATGGCCCGGGTCCTACCCCAGTCGGTCTGCCTGCCACCCGACTGGGTGCTTGGATAGGTCACTTCCGTTTAGGTCCCGGTGTTTAGTGGCTCAGTATACTTAAGGGAGTGCCTTAAAATCAAGTGCCAAGGGTTTATCAGGCTATAAACACTTTATTTTATGGCTGGTAAACTCTGCCAAGCTTGCACGCAGGTAAAACTGTATAAATATATACCACTTCCTGCGCACCTAATGAAAACCATGGTATTTGCTTTGGATGGGGATAAAATTTGCAACTAACAAAATAATTAGAATTTTCCCCATCAGACCGTATTTTCCATTGCAATGGTTTTTTAAGCTGAATATCTTTTAGCTTCTTGGACTTCACTTAAATATCTAATTGAATTTATTTTATTTAACTTCTGACTACCCGTTGAGCTTCTGTGTCTCGTGTTGTGTCTCCCTCAATTGTCCGAGGCAGCCTGAGCACTTAGTGGTGTGCTTGCCTGGCCTTTAAATGGCACCATGTCATCCCTCATGAGGACCAGAAGTCATGGAACTCATATGTTTGTTTGCATCTTTTTCTTAAAGCTGAACGGTGTTCCTTGGCCACTAAAAATCAATGACTCACAGACTTTCTGGCTGCATCCCAGAGAGAGGGGGTAAAGGTCGTCCCACCTGCCCTCTACCTAATTCCATTTTTTTTTTTCTGTGAAAAAGCAAAGCTCAGTCAGTAACCAGGATGAAAAGCTATAGCACAAACAGATTTCAGGGAGGTTATATATGTGTCTCCCAGCAGTCAGGGTGTGGATGATTCATACTTGAGCCATCGGAGAGGCTGGGAAGTGACAGGGCAAAAATGCGTTGCCTGCAAACCACCAGTCACTGAGTTACAGGAGAAAGATGGCGGCAGCTAGGCACACAGCCGACTCGAGACCACGCTGACGAAACGGACAGGGGGTCCTTCCCCAGAGGTCAGGGGTCGCGGAGAGCATGCCCAGGGAGAGTGTTGCAGGATCACCCACCACGGCTGGGCAGCCGGAGTGTGAGCACAGTTCTCAGCGTGACCCCGCGGCAGGAGACTCGGGCAGCGCCCCGGTTCCGCTCCCTGCGCCGTCACCCCACGGCGGTACCCACAGATCACTCAGAGGGCTGCTCGCAGCCTCGGGGGCCTTACAGGTTTTGGGGAGTTGTGCACTGTTACCCGGAAGAACTGCAGGCCGAGGGCCGTTATTTGAGACTTGCTGCATAAAGCGGTCCCTGCAGCCGAACCAGCAGTCATCCCCCACTCCCTCGGGGCACGAGAGGTGTTCCCCTTCGGTGTGGTCACGCTTGGTCCTGACCCTTACTCCGGACACTCCGCCTCTGGATTGTCCATCCCTGCCGCCCCTTCACGTGAAAAGTGAAAACGGCCTCCTTTTAAACTGCCGCGTGAGGCCGAGCCGAGTTGGTAGTCTCGGTTGAGTAAAGGGGAAGCAGGGTAACCATGTACAGTTTCTCTCTGCAAGTTGCATTTTAAAATACCGACTGTCCGAGGAAGCTGCCATCTGCTAATGCATTTCTGGGAGGCCAGAGTGAGCTGGCTGAATCACTCCTGCCTTAGCCCTCGTTTTCCAATGGTCGGAGCTTCCTGAGATTCGCCCCAGAGGAAGTGTCGGCAGAATATTGCATGTTACTCCCCTAGAGGTCATTTGAATGCTGTTCTGCAAAGTGGTTCTGGCTGTGAACTGGAGCTGTATTTTCTTCCTTCTCTAGAGTTCATCTTGATTTCAGAGGCAGGACGATGAGGGGGGAGGAAAGGGCTGGGTCACCAGCATGGCCTTGGGTTCTCAGATAACTACCCGTAATTTAGAAGATCAATCATTTCACATCACCTGGCGATGTGAAGGGTTTGTCGACAGCATCCCGAGTACACCAGCCACTGCCCAAACAGCTGCAGCAGGGGTCCCGACGCCGATGCCCGCTGGCGGTCTTGGAGGGCTCACCTCGCTTCTCTGGACCTGGGCGGCTGCTGGGGAGAGCTGGGGAAGGACGGGGCGACCTCTAGGGCGCCTGGAGCCTTCCCCAGGTGTCCGTCCAGCTCCGTTTGTTCATTGACTCTTCTGGGAACCTGAGTCTCTATTTCCTGCTCTTTAACATCCCGCTGCTGGGCGTAACGAAGAGGAAAGGTCATCTAGTCCACCTCTTGTTGCTTCCAGCCACTGAAACTGAGGGAGGCCCAGAGGGGCGAAAGGGCCGGTCCGAGGTCAGCCAGCCCGGGCCTGGCACCCTGCAGCCGGTGGCCGCAGATCCCGTGTGAGGCCGGAGGGAACGGCTGGGTGTAGTCGGCCCCTGCCGAGTTTCTTATGCTCATGCACTTGGGTTTCTACCATTGACTGTCATTTTTAACTTGTCTAAACATTTAGAAATCCTCTAAACAGTCCCGGAAATCTCCAGGAGATGAGGATGACAAGGACTGCAAAGAAGAGGAGAACAAAAGCGGCTCGGAGGGCGGGGACGCCGGCAACGACACGAGAAACACAAGTTCAGACTCGCAGAAGACCAGCGAAGGGGTAAGGGCGCCCTTCGGGCTGGGAGACGACGCCGGCAATGGATGTGCTCAGTCAGACTTGGGGGTGTGGCCCTTTGTCAAGAGTGAGTGCAGTGAGCCCTGACTGGTGTGGCACAGTGGCTTGGGCGCTGTCCAGCAAAACGGAAGGTCACCGGTTCGATTCCCAGCCAGGGCACATTTCTGGGTCATGGGCCAGGCCCCCAGGTGAGAGTGTGGGAGAGGCAACCGATTGGTGTTTTTCTCCCTCCCTCCCTTCCTTTCTCTTTCATCCTCCCTTCCCCTCTCTCTACAAAAAAATAAAACCTTGTAAAAAAAATTTTAAAAAATGTTTAAGTAATGAAATGATCCTGTTATTTCAAGGAAAGCAAGTGGCAGTATATGTTGCCAGTGATACCATTTTAGCTCTTACGTGAAAATTAGAACTCTGAAAAACTTAAAGCAGCCACGACTGACGGCTTCCCAAAAGCTTTTTCTGAAAAGATTGGTAGTGATATTAAAAATGTTAAAATTATTTTATAATGAAATGTGTATATTTATAATGAAATATTTGGAAGATAAATAACTTTTCTAAGATTTTATTTATTTATTTTTAGAGAGTGGGGAAGTAAAGGAGAAAGAGAGGGAGAGAAATATCAATGTGTGGTTGCCTCTCGCACGCCCCCTACTGGGGACCTGGCCCGCAACCCAGGCAGTGCCCTGACTGGGAATCAAACCGGAAACCTTTTGGTTCTCAGGGCTGTGCTCAATCCACTGAGCTATACCAGCCAGGGCATGAAGACAAGTAGTTTTTTAAAAAACCAACAAAACACGTCCTTGAAGTTGTGGTCACATTCCGGGGCCACCTTCACGTTGTTTGGGGTGATGATAATTTTCTGAGGCTGCTGTGGGACCACCTGTTTCGAAAATATTCTTCTTTCGGATCGAATTGTTCCTACGAATTTTCTACTAGTGTGGACACAGAATTTGTTGCCTGTCACGTTAATTTTAATGAAAAGACATTGTTCAAGAAGTTTCTTTGGTTGACGAACAGTTTTTGTTCGAATGAACAAAACACAAGGGAAGAAAATCCTTTAAAGTCTGCGAGTATCATCCTTGTTTCCTGTGAAGATTGTCTTCCTGAGGGTGGTAGGACCAGAGGCTGAGAAACCTCTGCCACGTATTTCTGCCACTTGAGGGGATGGTGGGTGTAGCAGCTTTTCCTCTGTGGGGGCCCGGGCATTGTCAGCGCCCCGTGCCATGCAGCACCGGTGCTGCTCTGGAGCAAGAGACACCCACGGGCGAGCACGTGTGCTCACAGGCTCCGCCCTCTGCACAGTGGAGGAGGGCATGAGCAGGGCTGTTAGAGAAGAAATAGCTGGGGCCCGAGTTTCCTCTTGCGTTCGTCCCAGGAGAGCCTTGCTGGGCGCTGTCATGCATTCGGGTGAATGGTGAAGAAAACAAAAATAGGATCCCTGTGGGGGGTGTAGCCTGACACAGTTTAAAGTGGGGCCCACATGGAAACATCATATTTTTTTTTAAAGATTGTATGTATTTATTTTTAGACACAGGAGAAGGGAGAAAGAGCGGGAAAGAAACATCAGTGTGTAGTTGTACTCATGCGCCCCCTACTGGGGACCTGGCCTGCAACCCAGGCATGTGCCCTAGCTGGGAATCGAACCAGGAACCCTTTGGTTCCCAGGCCAGCACTCAGTCCACTGAGCCACACCAACCAGGGCGAAACATCATTGTTTAAGCAAATACAGACAGTTTATCTTTGTTTCACACAGATACCATCTGCATTCTGGAAGGAAGGTAGCCTTCCTTTCTTTCAGTCCATCCTGACTTTGCCAACTCTGGTATTTCTGTAAGCCATATGTCACGATAATTAAGTTGTAAACATTACACAGAATAATTTGCATACACTTCATATGCTTTTTCCTTCAAACCCTCGCCCAAGGACATGCCTGTATTGCCTTGAGAGACACAGAAACAGACATCGATGTGAGAGAGACACATCGATCGGTTGCCTGCGGCCTTCGCCCCAGCGGGGGGTCAGACCTGCGACCTCTTTGGGGTGTGGGGACAAATGCTGCAACGAACCGAGTCGCCCGACCAGGGCCACTCCAAATGCTTTTTACGTTTCAAGCATCCTACCTTTCTCCCTGGCACCACGGTCCTCAAAACGACGGACTGCCTCGGTGTCCCCACTGATGCTGTGTCCCTGCGGCGCCCGGCGCTGGACCTGCACCCGCCGCGCTCCCGCCCTGCCCCAGGCCCCGCAGCTCGATTGGTTTTGTTCTCCTTCCCCCTGTTTCTAGTGGAGCACTGAAGACACCCTCGTGCTCCCTTTGGCTTTTCGCACCGACCGGTACAACGCGGAGCCTCAGGCCGTTCTCGCTGCGTGTGTTCCGTGACGCCGTGCCGCCGACAGCCTCAGAACACCCAGCTGTGCCCCGTCGGTGCGGACGGCCTCCGCTCCCACGTCCCGGCACCTAAAGCTGCGTCCTCTCTCTTCTCTTGCAGACCTAACCCCCGCCACGGGCGCGGCGCAGAGAGAAGCCGCCGAGAGGGCGTGCGTTTGCTTGTCTACTACACTCTCGGTTTCGTGCGAGCCGACGCGGCCCTCGTCGCCCCGACAGAGCCGCCGTGGGCGCGCACATCACTCACAGTCCTCTCTGTCTGTGTTTAGGGGAAGGGAAGGAAAAGACGTTTTAGCCTTTTTTTAAGGTTGTTGATTTAATTTCATGTTATTTGGTTGCATGAAGTTGCCCTTAACCACTAAGGATTATCAAGATTTTTGCACAAACTTAAACATGTCTAGGATCCTTTTATCAAGGCAGTCATGTTCTTAACTCTCCTGCCTCGACTCCGCCAGCACCAGACACTCAGACGAATACAAATTTGCATTTAAAAAAGTGGCCACTCCACACGATGTGTGTCTCCTCTCTGCGGCAGAACCCGGGAGCCGGTTCCTAGACAGACGGTGTTGGCGTATGGGAGATGGAATTGAAACCCGCTCTTCATTTCTGAGGCCATGTGTAAAGTTTGATCACACTGTAAAATATCTATTATTCCGTATTAGAAATAGCCAGTTGACAGCTTATCCTTCTCAGAGGTCCTGTCGTCATGTCCACAAACTCAGTTTCTCCATGTGAAAAGTCAGTGAGTCCTTCCATGTTCCTCCCCCCTAAAGGCCACACTCCCCTCGGCCCCACTGCCACCCCGGTTGGAGCGCGTCCCTCGCGGTGGGTCCCGGCCTCTAGCGCTGGGGTCCCGCGGCAGCCCCACGGGAAACCAGACAGAGCGTCGGCCTTTAGAGATGGGCTTTCCGGACGGCCTTGTTTCCTTTCGGAGTTAGAGTTAGAGTAGTTGCTCTCCACCCACGAACCATTATTCTGTGTACATTATTGTTGCTATTGTGATAATAGAGAATTTTATTTATTTTTATGCCAGCTTCTATTGTGAGGACACATTTAGTCAGTTTGGGTTTTCTCCTCAATCCTGTTATGCTTGTCCTTGGAACATATTTCGCGTACTCGAGGTTTGTAGTTGAAAAGTTTACTGTAAAAAAAAAATCAAAAACAAAAAAAATGTATTGTTTTTACAGAATAAATTTATTGGAATGTGTACCTGGGAGTAAGATTTGAGGTTGTAAACAGCTAAGTTAGTGTAATTTGGCTTCATATATGTAATGTGAGGTATTAATGTAATTCATATATTAAAGCAAAATTTGTTAACAGCAAGTTAACGAGAGAGTCCAGTGCAGGCGGGGGGGTTCGTCTTCTTTGTGAACACTGCGGGCTGTAGGGCTGCCGTGCGAACTCGCGGGGGAGGGGACGGAGCGGGCGGCTCTGTGGTCGCTCGTGCAGCCAATCCACTGACCGGCTCGCCGGACCCCGAAGTCCAGGCACCGACGTTGTCCGTGGGTTGACCTGGACCCCATTTTTTTGTGATGAAGAGCTGGTGAAAGGCGTGGTGGTGGCGCAGTGGAGGGCACAAGCGTGCCAGTGGTCCCGGCCACCACGCCCCGCCCACCAAGCCACGCCCCCGGCCGCCATGCCCCGCCCACCGCAGGGCAGTGCGGCGGCGCCCTGGGCTTCTTTACGCACACGCTGACGTCCCTTCATTACTCTCCACGCGCTCCCAGTTCCAAACGTGGAAAGTTCATTAAGAGGTAGTGGAAGTGACAATGCAGTTCTTACCCTCGAAAGGTCTTTTTTAACTTTGAGTATTTTAATTTAAAACTAGTGACATTTAACTCCTCCAAAGACCCCTCCGGGGCCGACCCGGGAGGAGCATGCAGGTGGCGTTTGGAACTGGGACGTATGAATGACAGCCTTTCCAAACAAACGGCCCAACTTTTCTGAAAAAAAGATTGTCCAGTTTCATATTTGTTGTCGTAGAAAGACAAACCGTTTTATTAAAAATACACACAGAAATACAGTAGAAACATCTCCAGTCACCAGTAAAACAAGTATTCCGTTAAGGACGAAGATCAAGTTACCGATCCCTCCTTAGCGCTCTACACTCAAAAAGTTTTAGGAAAAGCAGTTCTTAAAACAGCGGCAAAGAATAGACTTTCCTCGGGAACACATTTTTCAAATAACATTTTAAAACACTCTAACAACTTGTCTTTTGTAATGGGCATGTGCATCTCACATGTAAAACTATTTCTCCACTCTATTTGCTTTTCGGAATTTTTACCGCACAGGGAGCACGTCCGTGGTCGCGGTGGCAGGAGCCGAAGGGTCACTCTTCACCCTTGCACTTCGTACGTGCCAACAGAATATCGAAATAGGTGGTCCAGTTCATTCACAGATCATTTTGAATACATTTCTTTAAACAGCCTCTCAACGACTTCAGCTTTCCTTCCCCCAAAAAAACATTTTTTAAAAGGACACGTTAGCCCACCCAGCCCCACAGACAGTTCACGTACGCGGCGCAGGAGGAGAGTTGACCTGGCCTCGGGTGTCCCGGCCGGGAGGCGGGTGGAATGGGACGAGGTGTCAGTACCCGGACGATAACCTCAGTCAGCAACCCAGAGAAGAGCGACGTGACATCATGTTCTTACTCGGCCTTTTCGTCCGCCTTTGCTCTGACGAAGAATTCCGGCTTCTGGATGCAGCGGTAGGCCAGGAGCTGAGGGAGAGCGCCGTAGGCCACGTTTAAGGCTAGAAAGAGGATTTTCGCGTCTTCGGGGACTCGGTAGACGTAAGCAGTTCTAGCGTGAAGAGAAGCACCGATGTGAGAAAACTGAGCCTGTTGCATTAAAAAAAAAAAAAAAGCAGGAGGTCAGCATGAGTTTTGTGTTCAGTTGGATGCCTAATGAGTTCTGAATGATTCCCTCAGACCACGTTCCTGTCCCCTGAAGAACTAGTGCTTTCAGACAGTCCCTAGTCTTGACTGTGTTGTTGACTTTAGGGCCGGTCCTGACATCCTGTTGGAATAAAGCATACTTTCTCTAGAGAGTGGCTTTATCGTACAGCTGTCTCATAACCCCTCCAGGGCCCCATACCAAACAGTAGTAGTTCGACTGGACCGAAAAATCTGGGGACCCTGTAAAGAGACTCGATTGCATCTCACAAGCTGTGTTCCTGTAAAAATGAAGCAAGTGTGGGAATTGAGAAAGCTGACATATTTTGGGCTTAACTATTTAAAAAGATGTACCGCCCTGGCTGGCATAGCTCAGTGGATTGAGCTCGGGCTGGGAACCAAAGTGTCCCAGGTTCAATTCCCAGCCATGGTACATCCCTGGGTTGCAGGCCATAACCCCCAGCAACCGCACATTGATGTTTCTCTCCCTCTCTCTCTCTCTCCCACCCTTCCCCCCTAAAAATAAATAAATAAAATCTTAAAAAAAAAAAAAAAAGATGTACCAGGGGCCTCTGTTTTGTTTATCCGTCTTTACCCCTACTCCCGGGAGCAAAAACTCAAAGCCAGTGGTTATACATTTTTTATTTTTTTTTCTCATGCAACTTAACACTAAGGGCGGTTTTGTGAGATCGGGGGGCCACAACGTGGGTGGGGGGGTGCCGGGCTGCTCACTGCGACGTGGCCGAGGCACAAGCAACCCCCCTCTTCACGCCCAGTCGTACCGGAACCACTGGTCCACCCGGGAGATGGGAAGGCAAGCGCTTCCCGCGGGTCGGTCTTTTTTGATACTTTTCGAGAGAACAGGGGGGACATTGTATTAGAAAAGGCTTCCTCCCATGCGAGGATTTCCCCAGGATCCTTGTGTCATTACAAAGAGCAATGCTGGAGTCTGCATTTTCCTGTCTTTCTGAGATTCAAGGTATACGTGAATAAGGGATTGGGAATTTAAACGTAATAAGTGGCGAGTTATTCATCAGGATCAACGTGAAGAAGACAAAAAAAATATGGTAACCACCTAAGGAAGTCAGAAGTAACCACGAAAAACTCATTTTCTTTAAATACACACAGGCTTTCTCCCATTTCCTTCCACACGGATCGGTTTATTCCACTGAGCAGCTAGTAGACATCGGTGTCACCGAGCACTGGCTGTGTCTGCTACAAAGGGACAAGCCGCCATAAGCAGCATGCGTTCAGGTTTGTGGCGGTGACAGATATTTCACCGGGCCGAGTTTTTACGAGTTACTGATGCCTCCCGGGGACCTCTGGGACAGTCTCACTCCTCTCTGGGGACAGACATTGGACCAGCTGGTGCGTTGCCCAGGACGCCTCGGCATGGCCGCCCGCGAGGGCTCTGCCCTCAGACACCTCCCCGGGGTGGAGGCCGGAACGGAACCCAGGGGATGGGACACAGTCCACCTGGGGCTGTGAAGACCAGAGCCCCTGGGAGCGGGGGCCTTGGCGAGGCTGCCCTGAGCCATGGTCCAGGCCGCCCGGGCACCGGTTTCCCCGAGAGCCTGTTTTGAGTGGCAGCTCTTGTCTGAACACAGAACCGAATGCTGCCTTCTGCGCTAGAGGCCCCATCTGAGCCCTGATCTCAGAGGTGGGGGTGGTGTCTCCGTCTTTATAGACACTTGTCCCTCACGCGTCACAGACCAGCAGACGTGGGGACACGTCCGGCCGTGTGTTCAGATCAGACCGTGAGCCCGCCGGGCAGGCACCGTGTCCGGTGTGTTCTGTGGCACCTGTCACGCCGTCACACCTCAGCCCATGCTCTGCAGCCATGGCCCTCGTGACGGTCACAATGCTGGAGTCTCCCCAGAGCGTGTCTCTTGTCCTTGCGCTTGTCTTGGTGGGCCCTCTCCTTCCGAACGACTCCGCCAGGGGCAAATCCAGTGATGTTTCTAACCAAGGGGTGCGTGTCTGTGAGGGAAGCAGCCTGAATGAGGCCAGCGGTCCGCAGTTTCCAGCTCTGCGCACGGTTTTGATGGTGTGTTTGTGGGGGTCACCGCTCAGCTGAGCGGGCACCCGACCGGAGCTCCCTCCCAGCGCCTGCGGAATCCAGCGCACAGCGTCCTGAAGCTCCAGAGAAACCCCAGCCTCGCCTGAGGAGGGGAGGGGTTCCTTCCCAAGCACAGAGCCGGCAAGGGGCTGCTTGGTGTCCCCCTCCCCGCGAGGGCCCGAGGAGCTCAGCCCAAGGCCAGCCTGGGGTCGGGCGACGCAGGGCAGTCAGCACTCTGCACGGCACGTGGCCTGGGGCTGCAGGTCCAAGTTCTGGAACCCAGACACGGCCCCGAACCTCAGTGGTGCGAGGTTGAGCGCCTGATAACCCGTCTACTACTTCATTCAAAATCATTTTTCAGCTTAAGTTATATATATATATATATATATATATATATAAAGAATGGATGGTTGGGATAGAAAGTGAGGCAGTGAAGGCAAAGAGGTTAAGTCTTAACAGCTCTGTTTTCTTAGAGAGACGACCTGGTGCCTGAAAATCCCGTTCCTGGTTCCAGAAAAGAGGACTGAAAGGTTTCACGTGTCCACATAAAGACAGGCAAAAACGGATGCGAACACTGGGACGATAGCCAAGCTTTTTGGGCAACACAGAGTGAGTAGCGGACCCAGAACCGTGTTGTCATTTCGTGGGGTTTTCGGAGCGGCACAGGCCAGCGGTTAAGGACCCCGAACCTGGGTGCAGACGGAGTGTCCGGCCCCGGCCCCGCCACAGAGCAGCAGGTTTGTAGCAACCCCCTGGCTTCCTGGCCTGTTCAAGGGAATAACGAGGCCGGGTTCGGTGGGTTTTCTGAGGAGTGTGGGGCAGCACCCAGCCCACGACGCTCTCCCCCAGACACAGGTACAACAAATGCAAGTACCTGCTCAGGATCCTATGCTCGACTCTGTTTAAGAAAAAAACCCGGGCTTTATTTTTCGTTCCCCTTGCTGACCTTTCAACAATATCAAGACTGTGTCTTTCTCTACGAAAGGATAATAATCAGCGTGTGGAACGGAGACATTAAACCCAAAGTCCACTTCTAACAATAAAAGGTGCTCAGCGCATACGCCCTGAGCCCCTGATTAGCATGGAATTTGCATAAGTATCCCCACCATCTCTGTTCTTCCTGAACCCTCACCGCCGGGTATTTCTTAACGGTTTCCATGAAGGAACACGCTCATAAAGTTCACCTCCAGGAGAGTCCACTCTTGACAGCCACATCGTCCACAGGTCGGCCTCGGGCCCCTTCGCGAGAAAGCGCTCCACAGCCACGCAGCCAGGGGACGCGAGCCCGAGGCCTCGCACTGCCCGGCTGAGGGGGTCTGCTCCTGCCTCCGTGGCCGTGAGGGTCCCCTGGACAGTGCGCCCAGTCGCTGC